CATTGCATATTTCAACTGTGCCCTACAAGGGAGAAACTTGGGCCTTTCCACGTATGAGAAGGAGCTATTAGCTATGGTGTCAGTGGTATAGAAATGGAGACATTACCTATTTGGTGTGAAGTTCAGAATCTTAATTGATCATAGGAGTTTAGGCTTCCTTTTGAAACAAAGGATCCATACCCCAGTTCAGGAGGTTTATCACCAAACTTTTAGGCTTCGATTGTGAGATAGTGACACGGAAGGGGAGGGACAATATTGTAGCCAATGCCCTCTCTCGTAGAACTGAAGAAGAGTTGTTGGCTATATCCCACCCCATTCCCAATTGGGTGGAAATAGTGAAGGCTGAAATGGGTAATGACCCTTATCTATAGCAACTAATCTCAAAATTATAGAAAGGAAAGTCCAGTCCAAAGAGGTTTGAATACCAAAATGGACTTTTGTGGAGAAAGGGAAGAATAGTGATAAGCCCAGATTCAACTATTAGAAGAATTGTATTTGAGGAAGCCCACCATTCCCCTTCCAAAGGACATATTGGGTACATCAATACAATGCACTGCCTTAGATGGTTCTAGTACTAGAAGGGATACAAAGCTGAAGTTAAAACATGGGTCCAACAATGTAAGGCGTGTCAAAGAAATAAAACCGAAAATATACACACTCTTGGGCTGTTGCAACCACTTCCCTTGCCTGAACGGATTTGGATAGACATCAACATGGACTTCATAGATGGGCTACCCCCCTCACAGAAGAAATCCTCAATACTTGTAGTGGTTGATAAACAGTCCAAATATAGACATTTCATAGCCATACAACACCCATACTCAGCCCAAGACATTGCTAAGATATTCAAGGAGGAGGTGTTTAGGTTACACGGAATGCCAGCATCCATTGTTAGTGACTAAGATCCCATCTTCACTAGCACTTTTTGGAGGGAGTTATTTAATATACAAGGTATAAAGTTGTGTTTGAGTTCGGCCTTTCACCCCCAATCAGATGGACAAACTGAGGTATTAAACCGAACACTAGAGAGCTATCTGAGATGTTTTGTTGGCACTCACCCTCATTAGTGGGCAAATGGTTAACTCTAGCGGAATGGTGCTATAACACCACCTACCACTCAGCTACCAAGCTGACCCCATTCTAGGTTGTCTATGGTATACCACCTCCGAACCCCCTGACATATGTTCCTGGGACAGCTAAGGCTTAGTTAGTAGAAGAAGAATTGCTAGAAAGAGATAAAGTCCTCTATGTACTCAAGGAGAACCTCAATCATTCAAGAAATAGAATGAAAATAATGGCAGATAAACACAGGAGTGAGAGGGAATTTAAAGTAGGAGACTACTGCTACCTTCATCTCCAACCTTACAAGCAAAGTAGTTTGGCCCTAAGAAAGTCACAGAAGTTGGCAGCTCGTTTTTTGGCCCTTCAAGGTGTTAGAAAGAGTCGGCCCAGTAGCCTATCGACTGGAATTGCCGCCTGGTTGCAAATTGCACCCCACCTTTCATGTCTCATGCCTCAAGAAAAAATTGGGAGTCCATTGGCAATCCATGACCACATTACCCCCTCTTGATGGTATCGGAATGTTACTACCTTAACCTACCGCCATATTGGACAGACGGGTTATCAAGAATGGGAATCAAGTAGGCGTTAAGATGTTGATCCGATGGGAGGGAGCCCCTACTTCTGATGCAACTTGGGAAGATTGGGATGAACTAAAGAACAAATACCTAGGTGTCTGCCTTGAGGACAAGGCTTGGAACAAAGGGGAGGGAGTGATATATATCCCAGAAAATGCTATAGCCTAGCCCACATTCATGGGGCCCACTAAGTAGTATGAGCTTGTCAGTGGCAAGCCCAACTAATCCATGCAGAATTACACGTCAAGCCTATTCTTCCATTAGCCAGCAACTCAAGAGGAACTAGTTCATTTTACAATTTTCCTTAAATAATATCAATTGTAATCATGTGGGATGTCAGGAGGACAAGAGAATATTTGGACACCTAGCAGGTTGTTGTAACAACCTGGTCTATTTGTATCATCTTCTCCTTTTTTGACATGAATGAAATTGTTAAGTCTTTGTTTCCTTCGTTATCCTCTGGAGCAGTGAGAGGTCTCACTATAGCTCGAGGCAAACCATGAGCCTCTTCCCGTCGATGATAAAAGGTCAATAACACAATTTTGTTAGGGTCATAATCTTGGACTTGGTTGAAGCTTGAATCTAGTCAGTCTTATATTGGGTCTTCCCCTTAAGACCTTAAAATCACAGTGATGTGATTGGCATTAACAAATTACAGTGATAGTGTAAACTAGTTACTGGTTACACTTAATAGTAGGGTTGCCCAAATGAATTCGGATCTCCTACAAGTAAAAATTTTTCTCATATAATATCTAGCCACACATTGGGAATATCTCTTATATATTTATTTTAAATTCATGGGAAGATGTTTTAACGTGGAACAGGATTTTCATGCTTTCATAATATGTACAAAACTTTTACTTGCAAAGAATTTTATTGTTGTACTCAAACACACATACACAAAAGAAATACTTGCATATATTTTATATATGTATACAAATATCCTTTCTTTTTAATTATACATACATCTATATTGTATGGGAAAATCTATGATATGGAAAAAATATCTTCTCCATATCATATCGGATGAGATGGACCAATCAACATTGACTTGTATGTTTCGGTTAATAAGGGTTATCTCAGGTAACCGGTTTTAAAAACAAGAATTTAAATCACATTTCAAAATAAGAAAGACGTTAAAGTCTTCACAGTCACCCTCCCCTTTCTCTCTTTCTCTCCAAATTCCAACCCCCATTCTCCCATTTCAAAAGCAACTGCCTCAATCATTCACTTTCATGGTAGTTGTTCCTATTTCGATTCCACATTTCAGGCAAATGCAATTGCTCACCAGGCTTCAATTGCTTACTGGCAAAGCATTGTGAAAAGCCTGAACAGTTACTTGAAGACTTCGAGAGCTAATTAGGTGAGGCAGTTGCTAATTCATGTAAGAAGGTTGTTGCTGTTGGAATTAACTACACTCCTCCAAGGTTTATTCATGATCTTGTTTAGCAGATGAACTTATCTCTTCCACATGATAATCAGCATCATATGAATAATCCTTTCCTTTCTACTTCCTTGGTTAGCAGATGAACTTATCTCTTCCACATGATAATCAGCATCATATGAATAATAAAAATGAGAAAAAATAACATTTCTTCTTCTTTTTTTTTTCTTTTGTTGTGGACAAAATTTCTTCCTACTTTTGATAGATAACATCCAAACATTTTTAACTAAAAAAATAATAGCAAAGGAGTTGATGTTCAAAAAAGTGCTGTAACAACCTGAAAAACAGAACTATAAAAAAGCAACAATAGGAAACATCATTTCTTCTTGAATTCACATTATATTAGATGTACAACAATGTCTAGAAATGATACTGAATGCCCAAGCGGAATAAGCTTGGATTCAAAAACAATGGTTTTGTACAATGGGATTTTATATCTGTGGGAAAATGGGATCAACAAAAGCATTGTGCATGGGATCCAAAATCCAGAGTTTAGCTATGTGATGATGAGAAGAGGTAAGCCTGTGAATTTCTTCCATGAGCCAGATGGTGGTTTCAGCTTTACAAGGATGGATTATGGCATCCAGTGGGCGATGTCCATCTTCAGCACCAATCCTTGATTGGTCTCACTGTTTTAGGAGAACATTGGTCAGATAATGTAGAGGCTTCCCATATAACTAACTGTTTGATGGATTTTCCAGACCCTACCATGAGGTGAATGGAATAACTGATGCACGTTGAGAAGGAACTTGGTATCTGATTCATGCATTCTTGAATCTTGATACATTTTTGCTCGTATGATCATAACACCTGCGTCAAGGAGTATGTCTTACACTACCTTCACAATAGTTGTAACAACAAAAAGTAATTTAACGAATAAGCTAATTACGCAAACAGCTTAGGATGTACCGACAGGGTTCCATCCAATGGTGCAAGGAAACCAATAGAATGTGGATTGTTCATGCAACAGGAGAAACTGTTTTAAATATTGGAAACTCGGTTTAAGGTATCAAGTTTTACTTCTGAGAAGCAGAAACTTACCAAGATCCAATGCACCTCTTGGATGAGTACGATTTCAAAACGAGTAAGAAAGGGAGAAGTTCGACTAGAAGAGGAAATTGGAAGAAGAGAAGAATGGGTAACGGATAGGTTAAAGAGTGAGTGTTTTGGATTTTTTTTTTTTTAAATTTTAATTAACATATAAAAAAATAGTTACTGGTTACTTAAATACATTCGGTAACTTCTATATACGTGGCAGTAGTAGTAGAGGTTTTAGATATGATATAGATTTCCATATCATAGTCGGGCCCATATTGTATATATGTTTATAATGTAAAGGAAATTTATATATATTTTCAATTAATTTTATTTTTAAATTTATTATAAAACCCAATAAAAAATAACTATACAAAATTATATAAATTCTTCCAAACCTAATCAATTTACGCAAATTCGATCAAACTCTGCCTGAGCCCGAATCCAATCAGAATTGTATTGGACTAAGCTGGGATTGGGCCTGAATTTACCAACTTGAGCTTGACCTCGGGTTGGTCCACGCCCGAGCCCGCTAATGGAGAAGATTGAGGGTTTTGACGATTCGAAGAACGATGCTGATTCTGATCTAATGGTGTCGAAGCGTGGGACAGGTTCGTCTCGAGACTCTGGACGTTGAAAGACACGTCAGAACCAGGTTCCTTATACCTTAAGTCAGACGAATAGAGGGGTACAGTGGGAAAATGCGTAGTTATTTAATTTCTAAAGCGACGAAACTACCCTACAAAATGACACGTGTTTTAATTCCTATTGAGAAGTTTCCTCGCCAAAAAGTTCTTTTACTCTGACGTGGCAAATCGTCGTGGGCCAAACCGAAGCCTTTAAAAACCTCATGCCTTGTGCTGAAGCGCCAAAAACCCTTCTCATTCTCTCTCTCTCTCTCTCTCTCTCTCTCTCTCTCTCAAGTTGAAGCCAATACGCTGAAGCGATTTCTGCTTTCTGGTGAGAGTTTCTTGATTTTGGTTTCTGTTTTCGAACTGTGTTTATCTTCTACATAAGGTCATTGGCGATTTTCTGATGTCTGATTCTCTTCCATTTCCTGTTTATATGGTCATTTTTCTGTCCTTGAGATAACTATAGTCTTGCCTTTTCTTCTTTTTTCTGTTAATGGATGGACTAGGTTCCCTTCTAACAACATCTCCACTTCTTGATTGCTGGTTACTTCTTTTTTTATGTTTATATTGTGTTCTTTGTATTCTCTATAGGTAAGATTCTTTGAGGACTCGGGCGCAGCTACTTTTTCTTGTGCAATGATCAAGACCTATTTTTTGAATCTTTTTGCTTTTCAAGAACCTACTTACAAGAACTTTGTTAGTGGGTCTGTAAACTACCAGATATTTTATCAATACTAACATACAGATATCTAGTGATGGCACAAATCACAAAGCCTGAATTCTGTTAACTACCGGATTTTGATTAATGTTCCCTTTTCCCCTACTTCAGTAGGCGACATAATCCATTTGGAATTTTTACTCTTATGGTTTATGGTATTCTTATTTTAGTAACAATTCCTGAAGGTTGAACCAAGGGATTGACTAGTAGTTCATCTTTTACACCATGGTCAGGAGAAAATTCTGCATATCAAGACTGGCACAGAGATAGCTTCAAGATGACAAATGCATATAAGACTTGACTTCTTTTATACCCACCCTACAGTTCAAGCCATTTTTGTATTTTTGTAGAGAGTTCGATTTCCAGACACTCATAAGTTGATTACTCTATGGATATCAATGATCCTAATCGGGAGGGAAACCCACCACCAGCTTCTTCTCTAGTCCATCATGTTGAAGATTCCAGATTCCATACACTGGAAAATGAATCTGCTGAGAATTTGGGACCTTCTCAAATTCATTTCAGGATGACACCTGGTAATAGCAGTGCTGGCATCAGCCATGTGCCCATACTGCACAGAAATCTCCAAGATAATCCAGATACTGTAAGAGACATGACAGGAGCATTTCTGTCACATGATCAAACTATTGCAGTAAACAGTGATAGTGCTGTGTCTGGTACCACTCAATTCAATAGCTTTGAGAGCTCATTAATTGACAGAAGTCCTTTACACACCAGAGGTAACATTACCGGAGAATTACAATCTAGCAGTCAGGTTAGCCCAGCTGATGGTACTCAACTTGGCTTTTGTGCACCCCTCTTCAATGAATTTCATTGGCAACAGATTCATGGAAATTTTGTGCACCATGGAGTTAGTACATCAGATCATCGTGACTCAATGATTGGCAACAATATCATGACAAATGTAGTTCGGCCTGATATCCCTCATTCTTCGGAAAAGCTTGATGGCAGTTTTTTGAAGCTTGGGTTAGGTGTTGATACAATGGATGCTTTTCAATCTAGTTCTAATGTCCAAGGCAGAGGAATTAGTAATCATGATGGTGTGGATACTGGCACCCATACAAATATCCCCTATGTACCACAAGCTAGTGAGAACCTTTCTAATCTTAGCCACAACATGGGTGGTTGGACCTGGTCTAACAATGACAGCAATGTAATCAATTCCAGCAACAGTTCAAGTCCATTCAATATGTCCCAAACACCACAAGGTAACATGCAATATTTTCTTGCGATGCCAAATGACAGTATCTTACGTGTTGGACATAACAGTGATGCAAGATATGCAAATATTGATCCTTACAGTGGGTTCCATGGTTATTCTGGCATTGCTACAAGATCCTGTAGTAGCATACAAGTTGATTTGCCAAATAATGAACAAGCCTGTCCATCTAGGGTGGTGCCTAGACCACCTAGTGTTATTCCAAGACCTTATGAATCTCCAGTGCAATGCCTCCACAGTTATCCGAATAATTTCAATAAAGCCCCAGCTGAATCTTACATGGTTTCTTCTGCTGCCATTGAATCAAGGCCTGCCAGTAGCACCCCAGCTGGGTTTATGGATAATAGACAAGGATGGCCATTCAGAGTAATGCCAAGACCTACTACTTCAATTCAAAGACCTAGTGGATCATATCCTTTTCAACTACACCAAGGTTATCATAACATTAGCTTCCCTTTAGAGTCTTCCACGGTTACTCCTGCTGTTGGGACTGTAAAACACAAAGCCATGCATGATCAGCCAGGTACGTAGTCGACAATCTGGCTTCATTTGTGTTTGACCATGTATTGCTATTAGTGAACATGGAATCCCTTGCTTCATATAATGTTTATTTTCACTCATCTATCTTATAATGATTAGGGCCTTACTTGGTATAATGGTAAAATCTTGGGCTGACAAATGTGAGAAAGCGGGCTCAAGTTTGAGAGTGGTCACTTTGTGCCAAAAAAAAAATGAAAAAGAAAAGAAGAAAAGCCTAAGGTTAGGACTTTATCCAGTCTACACCTCCCAAGACCACAGATAACTGGGACCAACATTGATTGATGGCCTTTTTTTTAATCTTCTAATGATTATTTTATCATCTTAAAGTAATAGCTTCAGCAGTTCAAAGCTCAAATTAAGGAATCCTGGATAGTGAGTTTGACATCTTTTTCTTCTTCACCACCCTTTTTATTAGTAAGCAGGTTTTTTCATTAGATATTAAAATGGCAAATTACAAAGGTGGGGCTAAAGATCTAGCCCCCATTAAAGATTGTTTTAATCCTGATTACAGTTCTGCCCAGAACAACTGTTCCCTAGACACCACTTGCTTGGCCAGCGAGTCAGCCATCCCGTTTTATCTTTACTTGTTCCAATTGGTTTCTAGTACCAGGATGAAGTTATAAATGTACTTGTGGAAACCCATTAGCCAATGCTGGTCACGTAATCTGGGGTCTTAGGAGGGATGGCCTATTTATCAATGTTCAGAAAACCGACCAGGCATAGAGCCAGAGAAGGGAGAGGTTCACGGGTCGGAGGTTCAACTGGGGTCGAACCATGATGATGTGGCATATACATATATATACTACGGGTCATATAAATACTATATATAATATATTTTATAACTTGTAATATATTAAATATGGAAGTTAGATGGTAAGTTCCTTAATTTTTAAAGCAAATGACTAGGGTCAAGTCTCTTAATTTACATTTTCTTTAAAATACGTGTATAATAAAGTAATCTTTTTATTATCCCCTTATTGTAAGTACACCTCTGTATTTATATTCAGTCTTGCATTCAATCTAACTGATTTACGACAGAATTATAACAACTTGCCAACTTGTTTGATTTAGTTAACTCCAACTTGATTCAGTTAACTCCAGCTGTCTTTGCACTGGCTTCCTTATGCTGAGGTGGCCTTCTTCTCCTTCTAGAATATACTTGTAGTTCTTGCCCCCTTGTGCCTCTAACACCTTTTGTCAAAAAGAAGGTCCAACTCTCAAAAAAGAGATCAGTTGGATGTCCTTAAATAGATCATGTTCACCCAGCCAACAACAAAGTAAACCTATAAGATTATTTTTAACATCCTCAATGCTTGAAACTTTATGGTCAAGATTTGATGATTTCTTTCCTTCCAAATTAGCTGAAAGATAGCAGCTGGGAGGGTATTCCACAAAAGTTTACCCTCCTGTTCAGATCCCTAGCTGCGCAGCCTTGCAAAAGTTGGATAACAGATTCAGGAAGCAAAAAGGAATACCAAAGCCGGATAGTGTCCACAGTTGCTGGGAAAATCTGCAATGGAGGAAGAGGTGGTTGATGGACTCTGGTCCATAATTTCAAAGAGAGCAAGAGAGCTTGGCAGGGGAATTCGTCTTCTCAATAACCTGTCTAAAGTAAGGCATCTTCCATGAGCTGCTGTCCAACCCAGAAAAGCCACCTTTGAGGGGATGTAGGGGAACCCAAATTTTATCTAAAGGGAAATCAGGAAACAATCTCCTTGCTGTAGGGAGAGAGAGCTGAAGGTTGGGCCCAAATTTTATCAAAGGACCAGATCATTCATCTTCTAAGAGGGGCTTAGGATTGAAGTTTTGAAGATGGTTCAGCAAATTATCCATAGGGCCCACTTCCCAGTCATTTATATTCTTTCTAAAGGCTGGGCCCCAAATAAACTCCTCATTAACCTGATCATAGCAATCTTCCACCACAACATCTTTATCAATGGAAATATCAAAAAGGGAAGGGAATCCTTTTCTCCGTAGTGGGGTCTCCACACCAAATATGCTTCCAGAACTGGATCTGGTTTCCTCTGCCTGACCTGTAGCATGATTCCTTTCAAATAATCAGGGAGAATTTTGTGGATGTTGCTCCAGACTGTACACCCCAGAGGAGAAAGGCCAGGGCCAGAATCTGACCCAAGGGATGAGAGCCCATATTTTCCAGCTTTACTCTTCTTCATAGACTTTCTCTTTCCTTCTCTACAACCATTTACCAAGGAGAGATCTGTTGACTTGCCTAAGGCTTCTGATACCTAGACCACCCAATTTCCTATGCTGGCAAGCAATGTTCCAGTTTACTGTTTACCAAGTAGAACTTGAAACTACTTCTCCACCCATTCTATAAGAAGGATATCATCTTCTTCTCCAGCTGCTTGGTCACCCCTGCAGGTATTTAACAAGGAAAGGTAGTGAATAAAGAGGGAGGATAGAACACATTTTAACATAATGAGCTTTTCCCCTTTAGTTAAATATTTAGATTTCCATGTGGCAAGATTCCTGTTGAACCTCTCAAGGACTGTATCCCAAATTCTTCTGGAATTGCTTTTTGCACCAAAGGGCATACCAAGATAGTGGTTGGTAACTTCCCAACTTTGCAGCCCAAGATACCCACCAAATGTCCTGCTACATTACCTTCTCCAGATAGCATTATTTCACTTCTTGATAAATTTATTTTCGGACCTGAAGCAGCTTCAAACCACCTTAAAGCATAACCCAAATAAGTTAGCTGATCAAATGAGGCATCACAGAAAAAGATAGCATCGTCAGCAAATTGGACTAAAGGGAGTTGCTCCTAATAAGTTACCTGAAGCATCCTGTATCATTATGTTAAGTGGATAAAGGGGAGATATGCTTTAGGACTGTTGTGCATGCCACTAAAACTGAAGAAGAGATTGCATAAGATGGCTATAAGATAGCTCTTTGTGCAGTAGAAACAAAAGGAGCAGTAATGGGATCTTGAGTTGGATGAGTCCCAGATTCATAGTAGTGAAACTAAAAATAAGCATAAAGAGAACTTAGGTATCAGAATTAGGCAACAAGGGAAAGTAGACTACAACTGTTTTCATTTGTGAAATCAAAACCAGTGAATGCACCATTTAGAATAAGTGATGTGAAGAAGGCCAAAAACAGCATGGGTCTAGTATACTGGTAATTGAGTAAAGATGTTCTACTTCATTCTTTACAAAAACATGTGACTTCTGATAGAGTTGAATGGAGAAAAGGATTTATTCTATCACCCCATTTGGGTGATGTAAAGCAGGCAGAATGATGATACTGTTTGGATCTGTAAGCTCAGAATGGCCTTTTGAACATGGTTCTGGTACAATATGTCATCCAATTAAAACTTACAACCAATCAATTTACTACATGTAGTGCACTCGAAGCTTAAAACAATAGAATTGTACTTATTCCTCACTTTAAGACCATAGACAAAGGGAGAATATGTTATCTATGTCTAATCAATATCCAATGGAAAGCATTGTATAACACACACAGACACACATACATATGTGTCTATCATATTTATGCTCTGTTTGATTGTTTTGAAGTTATGCAAGCCTTTATTTCTTCCTTTTTGCATCTTCTAGGAATGCATTTTGGGTTAATTGTTTTTTTTAACCCCAAAATTTACTCCAGGTGTGTGGGGGGGGGGTGCACCTTAAGATTTTATTATCAATATCAGAAAATCAACGATTACAGGGGAGGACATAGCCCGCCTTGCCCCAAGCCCAAGAACAATGCAAGAAACTCTCAAAAATGAAAAAAAAAGCCCAAGCCCAAAATCTATTTACAACGAATTCTAGAAAGCAACAAAGCATCATCAAAAAGTAAAAGCTGAATGTTCTGTGGAAATGAACTCTTGGAGTCAAAGAGAAGGTTTTCTGAACTGTCACACACCAGGTTAGCTAAACCATTTGCCACTGTATTCCCCTCTCTTAGAATATGAGTGTAGGGCACCTGAATGCCCTCAGATAATTCTGTTATATCGTATAACCATGGAAGTGTGGTCCATGGGGGAGATGACTCATCAGTTAGGACCTGAACCGTCGTCAAGGAATCACTTTCTACCAGTAGTCTCAAGATTCCTAATGCCTTGGCATGGTATATATCATCCCGGATCACTCTGGATTCTGCTATTATGTTCGTTGTGCAGTCATAAGATGAAGCAAAAGCAAGGACAAGCTGCCCATGGTCAGAGCGAAAGATGCCTCCACCACCTTACCTGGATTACCTATGGAGGCTCCATCTACATTCACCTTGTACCAACCTGGACTTGGGAATTTCCAGAGAACCAGCCTAGTCCTTGGATGATGACATTGCAAAGGATGAACCCCCAAAGCTGCTAGGGTCAAGTTGTCTACAAAACTGGGGTCTTGATTCGGTGTTGACCAACAAGTTTCATGCACCCATTTCAGGACTTTAGCAATTATCAAATCCACCGTTTTAGTGCGCCTGTCATACCTACACCTGCATCTCTCTTTCCATAACTCCCACATAGTAAAGAGAGGAATCGATGCAAGTATTTCTTTCACTTGAGAATGACCGCCACTGCCCATTTCTAACCAGTACAGAAGTCTGTCTTTTGCCAACTGCGTGTGAATAAGGGGAACACCACACAAAGAGCTAAATTTTGTAACACCTTAACTGCCATCTTACCAAAAACAAGCACAGATGATTCTTAGTTTCACTTTTCCTGTTAGCACAACAAACACAAGCTGAAACTACCAGGATGCCAAGTCTTCTTATACTCTCATCAGTAGGAATATCCCCTTTCAAAAGCTTCCAAGCAAAGAACGGAATTTTTGGAGGAATTCTTTTATTCCAAACTAAAGTGCCTGAACAAAGGAGCCCCTCGTGTAGAGATAGCTCTCCAAGTTGAGCGGCAAGAGAAGGAACCATTTGAAGTAAGCTACCAAATTCTAACATCCATACCATTCTTAATAACAATTGAGAGAAGCCAAATGAGAGATAATGTGTGAAGGAAGATTA